GGGTGTACAGTGATGGGTAATACTCCCCGGGTGGTTAGCGATGGGTAGTACTACCCGCGTGGACAGTAATGGGTAACACTCCCCGGGGGGACAGTGATGGGTAATACTCCCCGGGTGGAAAGTGATGGGTAATAATCCCCGGGTGGACAGTGATGGGTAATACTCCCCAGGTGGACAGTGATGGGTAATACTCTCCGGATGAAAAGTGACGTGTAATAATCCCCGGGTGGACAGTGATCGGTCATACTCCCTGCGTGGACAGAGACGGGTCATACTCCCCAGGTAGACTGTGACAGCACTGCAGATTGGGTAGCAATACCTGTTTAGTTAGGATCGAGATGTTGCAATGTGTTTCACAGGTGCCTTACTAACGATAGCCCCACACCAAGCCACCCACAGAGATATTGTGTCCCATGCCCAATAGTTTGCTCCAAGAAGGGGGTTTTATGGAGAATCTGAACAGAAGGAAGAGAAGAGACAGTGAAACACGACACTGAGGAGGGAGGGGTGTGATGGGGCAATGGAGGTACCCGAGCGGGCTCAGAAAGAGAGATTGAGATAGACTGACCGCGATAGTGACAGGGTAGGAAAGAGAGATTGGGGTAGGGTGAGGGAGATAGTGTCAGGGTAAGAGAGAGAGATTGGGATCGGGTGAGAGAGATAGTGACAGAGTAGGAAAGAGAGATTGGGATCGGGTGAGAGAGATAGTGACAGGGTAGGAAAGAGAGATTGGGATCAGGTGAGAGAGATAGTGACAGGGTAGGAGAGAGAGATTGGGATAGGGATAGAGAGATAGTGACAGAGTAGGAGAGAGAGATTGGGATAGGGTGAGAGAGATAGTGACAGGGTAGGAAAGGGAGATTGGGATTGTGTGAGAGAGATAGTGACAGGGTAGGAAAGCTGTCATGGTGCATACAGGCACCAATGATATAGGTAATAAACAGGATGACGTCCTACAAGCAGAATTTAGGGAGTTAGGAGCCAAGTTAAAAAGTAGGACCTCAGAGGTAGTAATCTCAGGATTGCTACCAGTGCCACGCGCTAGTCAGAGTAGAAATGAAAGAATAGGCAGGATAAATGAGTGGCTTGAGAGATGGTGCAGGAGGGAGGGGTTCAGATTTTTGGGACATTGGGATCGGTTCTGGGGGAGGTGGGACTATTACAAATCGGACGGTCTACACCTGGGCAGGACTGGAACTAATGTCCTAGGGGGTGCTTTTGCTAACGCTGTTGGGGAGGTTTTAAACTAATGTGGCAGGGGAATGTGAACCAAATGAGGACGTTAGTGGGCAGTAAGGATGTAGTAACTAAAGCCTGTGAGGAACTAGATAATGAAGTCAGTGTGACGAAGGGAAAAGTAGGCAGAGAGCAGATGATAAACGCAAAGGGACAGGTGGTCTGAGATGCATTTGTTTTAATGTGAGAAGTGTGGTAGGTAAGGCAGATGAACTTAGGGCTTGGATTCGTACCTGGGAGTATGATGTTATTGCTATCACTGAGAGTTGGTTGAGGGAAGGGCAAGATTGCCAACTAAATATCCCAGGATATAGATGCCTCAGGTGGGATAGAGAGGGAGGGAAAAGGGGTGAAGGAGTTGCATTACTGGTCAAAGAGGATATCACAGCTGTGCTGAAGGAGGGCACTATGGAGGACTCGAGCAGTGAGGCAATATGGGCAGAGCTCAGAAATAGGAAGGGTGCGGTAACAATGTTGGGGCTGTACTACTGGCCTCCCAACAGCGACTGTGAGATAGAGGCACAAATATGTAGACAGATTATGGAAAGATGTAGGAGCAACAGGGTGGTGGTGATGGGAGATTTTAATTTTCCCGACATTGACTGGGATTCACTTCGTGTTAGGGGTTTAGATGGAGCAGAATTTGTAAGGAGCATCCAGGAGGGTTTTCTAGAGCAGTATATAAATAGTGCAACTTGGGAAAGGGCCATACTGGACCTGGTGATGGGGAATGAGCCCGGCCAGGTGGTTGAAGATTCAGTCGGGGATTACTTTGGGAATAGTGATCACAGTTCCATAAGTTTTAGAATACTGATGGACAAAGACGAGTGTGGTCCTAAAGGAAGAGTGCTAAATTGGGGGAAGGCCAACTACAGCAAAATTCAGCAGGAGCTGGGGAATGTGGATTGGGAGCAGCTGTTTGAGGGTAAATCCACATTTGATATGTGGGAGTCTTTTAAAGAGAGGTTGATTAGAGTGCAGGACAGACATGTCCCTGTGAAAATGAGGGATAGAAAGGGCAAGATTAGGGAACCATGGATGACAGGTGAAATTGTGAGCCTAGCAAAGAGGAAAAAGGAAGCAAACATAAGGTCTAGGCGGCTGAAAACAGACGAAGTTTTGGAACAATATCGGGAAAGTAGGACCAATCTGAAACGAGGAATTAAAAGGGCTAAAAGGGGTCATGAAATATCTTTAGCAAACAGGGTTAAGGAAAATCCCAAAGCCTTTTATTCGTACATAAGGAGCAAGAGGGTAACTCGAGAAAGGGTTGGCCCACTCAAGGACAAAGGAGGGAAGTTACGCGAGGAGTCAGAGAAAATGAGTGAGATTCTTAATGAGTACTTTACGTCGGTATTCACTGAGGAGAGGGACATGACGGATGTTGAGGTTAGGGATAGATGTTTGATTACTCTAGGCCAAGTCGGCATAAGGAGGGGGGAGGTGTTGGGTATTCTAAAAGGCATTAGGGTGGACAAGTCCCCAGGTCTGGATGGAATCTATCCCAGGTTAGTGAGGGAAGTGAGAGAGGAAATAGCTGGGGCCTTAACAGATATCTTTGCAGCATCCTTGAGCACGGGTGAGGTCCCGGAGGACTGGAAAATTGCTAATGTTGTCCCCTTGTTTAAGAAGGGTAGCAAGGATAATCCAGGTAACTATCGACCGGTGAGCCTGACGTCAGTGGTGGGGAAGCTGCTGGAGAAGATACTGAGGGATAGGATCTATTTACATATGGAAGAAAATGGTCTTATTAGTGATAGGCAGCATGGTTTTGTGCAGGGAAGGTCATGTCTTAGCTACTTGATAGAATTCTTTGAGGAAGTGACAAAGTTGATAGATGATGGAAGGGCTGTTAATGTCATATACATGGACTTCAGTAAGGCGTTTGATAAGGTTCCCCAT